CGGATCCGGATCCGGATATCCGCGGATATCCTGAGTTTTTGTCGGATATCTAGAGTCCGGATATCCGGAGGTCGCAGATCTGGATCCGGATAGTTTTTCCACTGATCCGGCGATTCCAGATCCGGATCCGGATATCCTGAAATTCCAGAATATCCGGATCCGTCATATCCCTAATCTTCTTCAGCTTTTCTTTTCAAATTCATGAAATTAAAATGTATTGATCACTACTCTGAACCACTAATTCTTTCCTTTAAGAATTCTTGTTTTTATATTTTATGACAATACATATATGATCATTTAAAAAATATCTCAAGCATATCATCCCTCTACCTCTCTTTTTTCCCTTTCAGTTTTACATTTTGTATACACCACATATATAAGTCAGTATTATTATCTTGCCTTTTTTTTCATAAGTTATTATGCTTATTAAGAGAGTTGCTTATTTTACATATTATACTAAGTTTTTTCTATCTAATGGCGATAAATTNAAACATGTTAAAAAATTTATTCCAAAAATACTACCACTTGTTTTAGATTTTCAATAGTAGCACGACTTCAATATAAAAATAATTAAAAACATCTTATTAATAGGAGAAATATAATCCAATTGGGTGGAAAGTTGTTTACAAAGGAAAAAATTATAAATCTAGAGTGCGTAGAACGGGTCAAACAACAATTTTAATTTAAAGGCGGACTGTTTGACCCGTTCTGCACGCTCTAGATTTGTAAATTTTTTCTTTGTAAACAACTTTCCACCTAATTGGATTACCAATCACAGTGACATATTTTAATTAAAGTTTAGTTGAAAAAAAAAGGAGAAATCTAAACCTTAAGTTAAAGTGATAACCTCAAACTTAATGTTTTAATTTTGTTTGTAATTTATTTAGAGTAAACAAAATTTTTTACACAATAATTTATATTCTTATCATTAAAAAATTAAACTATCTGTAATTTTTTTTTTAAACTATAAAACGTGTTATTTACTTATTTTAAGATCATTTTCGTAAACTACAAATTGTAACATAACCATTGAATATTGTCTAGAGCCCCATCATGGTTTATAGATAGGTTTACTTCTTATAATGGGCTTTTGATTGTTGGGGCACTTAATGGGCTTTTATTATGAGTTCGGTACACACAGCGGAAGCGAAATAAAGAACACAAGAAAAATGCCCTAGGGTTTTTCCATTTTTCACAACATCAAGAACCCTGTTCGTGTTTAGTGATTCCCACTTGAGAACAAAATAGTTCTGTAGGTGTAGACCAGAATTCAATTTCTCTTATACGTGGAATTATCTAACCACTTTCATTTGGCCAGTCGACGTGGTGCCACGCTTTACACCCATTAAAAAACATGGTGAATTGACTATTCAACAGCTACACTCACCCTCTAAAAGTATAAATTACACAAAAAGCATGTGTATGAATCGATCTTAGGACCTAAGAGTGTGCTAATGGCAGGTATTAGCCACTAGACTACAATAGACTTTTGGCTAAAATTAGGGGCGATATTTTATGTAGTGTAAAACGGGCCGCAAGCCCAAGCTTGGACCGCTTGGACTCAGGGCCTGGCCTGCATTCACCCTGGGAGATTAGACGGGTGGTAAAAACCCGGATCACTCTTAGTTATAAAAAAAAAAAAAATTGTTCGTGTCATAGACTTATTAGAGAGAATATAAAA